TTGACGTGGATCTAATATGTTACTAATCTATAACTAAATAGTGGTAGACTTGCTCATCAACTATTGTAGCTTTTCAAAGACCCTGGATACGGTTGATAAGACTGATATTGGTCTGTAATTATTAGGATTTTTACGTTCACCTGCTTTAAACAGAGGAAACACTTTTGACCATTTTCAGTCATCGGGAAATTCTAAGCTTTTAATTGACAGGTTGGACAAATCAGTTAACTGTCCGTAAATGACTAGAGCAGACAGCTTGAGGATTTTTCTTTGTTTTCTTCATTATTTTAGGGTAATATTGGTCGGCGTCCAGCGGCGTCCATCAAGCCATCAAGCCATCCATCAAGCCAGAATGACTGCACAACCGACAATATGACTAACAATACACGACTGTTTAACTGTGACAATGGACAGATAGAAACACACCAATGATATTACGAGTCTTTATAGCCACTGACATAACGGCTTAATTGACCAATCAGGTCAATAACCAGAGTTTAATACCATCAACTGACATGATACAACTCACTTTCACGCTAAAGCTAGATGACTACGGCACAGGTTGTCGAAACGTCAGTCACTGTCAACAACAGTCCTATTCAGGACTACTTTCACCCAGACGATCATGTTCAATCTACTTATGAAATGACTCCTGGGTTCAAACCTTTCACACTGATGTCAACTGTTGATAATTTTGCTGTTATTTTATCATTGACGTCAGTGACTGACGTCAATGGTGGAATAAATGCAAACATCCTCTAAATCCTGAGTGCTAACTCGTTGTAGCAGAACAATCAGAAAGAGAAATTTTTTTTGAATTACTAGTAATTGACATTGCACACATCGCACGTTTGTGTAAGCGCGGCAGCAAATTACAAGCCGATTGATACGACTGCGCCACCTGCAACAGGAATTAAAGCATGGCTTAAAAGCCAACGAGATATTGGAAAATAATGTTTATGTATTCTACTGCTACGAACAAACATTAATTCCAGGGAAGATAAATCTTCTTTCGCGTTAAAGAATCCGTGTGTTTCCTATAAAACACAAGAGAAATTGTAATGAATGTTCTTTTTATTATTTCCGCAGCAAACTGTTATACATTAATTCTGTGAATGTTCATTTCCTGCCTCGGATCTAAATAATTGAATGAAAAACTCTTTTTACAAGATCTTTTATTTTGAAAACAGCAAAAAAGGTTGTCCTAAACAAAGACCCGTCCTTTCTTTTAAATATAAGAGACCTTGTGAAGAGCTTTTTTGCATTCAATTGTTCATCCATCAATTCTATTGATCGTTATTCTAACCTTAATGAAAATTTATGGCCGAAAAGGTTTACTGTGGATTCATGAAGTTATAATGATTGCAAAAGTGAGCTAAGACCAAGTGTGTATATTTCACTTCACTAATAAATTCCGGCCTTAGATCATCCAGCGAAATATTTCCTCAGTTATCGAAATGGAATTGCGCCAGGTCTAAAAAGCGCCGTCATTGGACGAGTCTTGAATAAAAATAAACTGCAATTTTTCATGAAGTCACAATCTATCTCTATAGAGACAAATCACATCATCTGTCCGCGGCGATTATCACCAATAACATTTGTTTAGATAAAGCGATTGCTGATCAAATTAACAGAATAAAACAAGCTTGTATTAGCATTATTCTTAGTTTGTAAGTTTTAATATTTGGCAGTTCTCGCTAGAAAAAAAAGAGGACACACAAATGGGCTTATCCAAAGATCAACTGAAAATAATACTGTTCGCAGTATTTATCCTAATAATAGAAATAGTGGAAAAACTATTGTTTTTTTTATTATCATGGAAAATATCGCGTGTTAAGCGTGGTTGTTGTCTTACAATGGTAAAACGGAATTGATTAACTTTGCTAGTATTGACAGCCAATCTTGTGCTTTATTAATATCTGTTATCTGCAGGATATTTCCTAATATCTCCAACTTATTTACACGTTGATCATGATTATCATGAGCTGGAATATAAAAAGAATTGAGGAGGAGGTTGGAATATAAAAAGGAGTTTTATTCTGTTGTGGTATCTGCAGTCTTCATTCATGAACTCTAAATGAATTCGGATGTCGTGTATAAGAACTTTCGTACGATTACTTTTGAATATGAAAAACTCGTATCACAGAGTAATTTTATTAACAGCATTGATTATGGAGCCATTTCTATCGTTCAGTTATTCGTCTCCTGCTGTGTGTTGATAGTCTTGCCACGCGCTACACTCCGCACGGGGTAGAAAACCACTAAAAACGGTTAACCGCTTAAAAGCCAGTAATTGAATAAATGTGGAAATTAATTGAACACACGATAGCGAGAATTGAGCAGAGGATTTGAGTTTGGCCTTAGTTTGCGGAAACAAAATTGTTGAAAGTCTCAGTTCAATCGAACTGTGTATATTTTATTCTGGACTTCAACCGTGGAACAGGTAATCAGTCTTGCCTCAGTCGAGATAAAATGACGTCCATTTTTTATCTGGGCTCCGGGCTTTTCAAAAATTATTTCAGAAAGGTTCATATGTATAAAAGCGTTAGAAGGTTCATCAAAAATTTTTATCATATTTCCAAAACATAGTCAATGGTTATACATGAAGAGGCATCATAGTCATTTTATTTGCTGTTAAATATAATATTCTTGTTAAGATGTCATTTTCAGTCCTTTACCGGAAAACCAGCTGCTCTATAAGGTTCTAGCCAACAACTTTAATAAGTCTTATTAGTGAAAATACTACATTTCCCGTTTTCATTTTTTTGCAAACTAAGAATCGGTTTCATAATGAACTTACGTTAAGACCGTACTTTCACTCCATTAAGAAGTTATTTATTAATAAGCGTAGCTTTGTGCTTTTCTCCCGTTTCAGTTAACTTCAAACCCAAAATATATAATAAATTAAGCTCTCTCAAAATGTTAAATTGAGACAGCCTGGTTGATTAGGTGACATTATTCAAATGCAAAGAGACGGTAATTCACCGTCATTTAATTGTTATATACACAATACGAATATACCTACATAGCCTAAGGCTGAAATAAAGCCAGTCAGCATCGACGTTATATAGAGTACAAACAAGTAGCCAATCAAGAGCAAGTCTCCTCGCTTCGCCAAAGCGAGAAAGTGTAGAGCCTGAGTCATACACTGCGCTTGATATGAAGTGAACATCATAATAATGACAGAGCCAAGCTTACCTGATAAAACATCCTAGGAGTACAAAACATCCGTGCATACAGAAAACGTGACCATGTCCGATGAGTTTAGTGTTAAACTTACAATTTCGCAGAAAATTTTGAGTGACCGTGAACTCACAGAAGATGCTAAGGAAAGTCACGGATGTGTCATCAATACCGACCTTAAGTTTAGGTGGACGGCTACATAGAGGACGGTGACTTTGGCCGCGACAGCTTGGGGAGGGACGACGTCGACTTGGCGAAAGAAACAAGTTGAGTTAAGTTTCAGTAGAGGTGACGGTTAAAGACTTTTCTTAACTTTATTGAAGGTTTGAGAATGATTTCTCTGAAAGAGATCCGAGAGCTTTTGGTTGACTTTTATAATTATGATGGTGTCATATCACATAAGAAATTCGTTCTCTTGTACGATGAAATCTAGTTGAGCGCTTTGTTGCTCGAAAGTGAATGTTCGTCGCTCCTCTGAGCCTATTTGCGATCTACGTATTGCCAAATTTTCGCACGCTTCACAGTTCTTACGGCTGGCAATCGAGCCTACACAGCTCTGGGCTTGAAGCGGTAGGGCTCACTTACAAGAACTTCTTTAGCAAGCTGCATATCGTGATCTTCAGTCCACTCCATCTTCATTGAAATAAGAACAAATCATTAAATAGGATTGAGAAGTTACAAGTTCCTTCATCCTGCTTTATTAAGGGATTTATTTTGTCGAATAAATGTTAACCAATTAACACGTAATTTCATTTCGGCCTACAACTTAAGCAGAAAAAATTAACTAAAAACTTTGTGACTGAAAAAAAGGGTTCAGATGGTGAGAGAATACTTAAATGTGATTATTTTTTTAAATCGCTGGGAATTCTAATCTTGCAGTTGTACCACCTGCTGCTGTTATATTCAATCATAAAATAGTGTTTAAGTAAGTAATTGAAAAAGGTTTACCATTTGAAGTAAACTAGACATTCCAGAAACAGATTAAAGCGGTATTCTGTTAAAATAAAGGTGTTTTGAAGACGAAAACACGAAGAAAAAACTCACGCTCTCGAGACACCGCCGCACTAAGCCTTCTCACCGTCGCGACGTGCAGACGACGCGGGTTGGACGACTGAGATATATGTTAATGGCCCGAAATCGGGCAACATTTATTTCCGGTTGCCGTCCTCCACCTTACCGTCCACCCTAACGTAAGGTCCGTAAAATTCAGTGTCGACGTCATTCTTTCCATTTGCTTTCCTCCTCTTTAAATCTTGTTTACTCGTCTCTTAAGTACACGTTACCCAATTTTATTACATTGTTATTTACCGTTTTCTCTACTATCAGGGGCACCCAATGGATGTGTTCCTCAAAATATCTGTTCTTCAGGAAAATTCTTGCTGGCTGGGAGATTTGGAAAAATAATATGTCCTTATAGGAAAGTGTTGCTGGGAAATAGATAATGAAGGGTGTATGAGGGGATTCGATGTCTAGGGTAGCTGCTATGTGCTATTTGTCTGAAACATCTCCCCCCCCCCAACACACACAAGTGAAGGGATGAATTTCGCCCCTGCCCCCTCCCCAGTCCCCACTGAAAGACTGATTTTCGAGCTTTGACCACACCCAACACACCCAAACTAGCCAGTAACGTTTGGACACATGTATGCTGGGAAAATTCCCAGTAAATCAGGTTGTAGGTTGTAGGTGCACCTTGCTGGCTCTGAACTCTACCATCAGTCTTGCTGGGAGTGAGGAAGAGATACATTTTTCCCAGCAATCTCCCAAAATGCTCAAAATGGTTTCAGAAAGCTTTATTCTTGCTTTGTTGTTGTTTTTAGGTCTTTTTCGCAAGATTTCCCGTGCACTATCATTCAGCGGTCATTCAGTTTATTTATGCAGTTGCGTTGGGATCAAGGTATGTTGACATGACCTGCTCCCATCTCTTCTGCCATGTAACGTTTACCAAAACTAATTAATACAAATTGTCAGAACCTTCTATCCCAAATCCGGCTTGAAACCCTGTACCCCACTGTAACTTAGAAGTCCGATCAGAATGTGAGTGGGTTCATATCCTTAGAGGACATTTCATTGCCCCACCTCTTCCCTTCTAACTCATCTAACACTCATCTTTACACAGATGATGATGTCCAAAGGTGTCCTATTTCGTCAGTGGAATTATCCAAGACAGTTGTAGTTTCAAAATAATGCTTAGATTTGCTTTGCGCTCTAAAGTACTATCAAAATTCTAAATTGCTATCTATTTGAGACAAGGGCTCGATCATAGACTGAGCGACTTGTTCGCAAAAGTTAAGACAAGAAACTTCAGCTGCCAATCAATATCGGAAACTACTGAGTAAAAGAGATGCAAATCGAGAGCTATTTATTCACCATTTCCTGCGTCTTTCATCTATTAATTAAAATTTAAATTCAAAACATTTCGCCATAGACTGGAAAGCTTCGTCAACTGCTCGATTTTAGATACCATCATTTGCCATGAAATAGGTTTTCCTTAACATCAACATCAATTTTTCCAAGTATTCTTTTAAAAGGAGCTTGTCCGAATTCTCAGCCAATGAGGAAACAAGGTACGCAAGTTGTTTATCTTCAGTTTCGATTCAGTTTCATGTTATTCTTGCTACAAGTAGCCTATACATCGAAAACAATTCAAAAGGTTTTTTTCCGCGGAGGTCATTACAGACTAATCGACCTTACTGAGGAGGTTGATACCAGATTTGTTTTATAATAGCTAACATGCACGAGCAGTCCGCATATCAATCGGCTTTGCATGACCTAACTGGCTAGGGTTCGGTCTTTACGTGGCACTAAAACTGTCAATAAGTTATTATGTCATGTCGGCTTGGTAATATACGAATTTCGCTTGTCGACTCTCTTGGTTACCGTTACAAAAGCGTGTTCTTTCAGGCTAGTATGAGTGTGTGTGTGTGGTAGTTTTTTAAAATTCAATCCCGTGTGACTCGAGACAATCGATAATTTTTTCATCAGGCCACCGGATTTACAGAATGTTTCAGACGTTCGTAAAAGTCTGAAAGGTACCTTTATTTAAAATAACTCATCTTTTTTATATCTTCACAATACGATGAATGAATTGATGTTATTCCCTCTGCAAGATTATTCTCTTATTTTTGAACTGTTATCGGTTGCCACCTTGTATAGATATTATATGACCTTATATGCGTGCCTGAATAAAAATGCGACATTCTGAGTGATAATTGCTGGTAATTTTGAGATCTAGCGTGCTTGAAATTTTAGTTACTTAGCTTGTCTTTGATTATGAGCAGACTGAAAACGTATTAAAATTTTGACCAGCAAATACTGCAGGAAAAATTCATTTACACCACCTCGCTGCAAGCAATATTTCGGGCTATTTGGAGGAGAAATATCAAAGGTCTCCTTTCTCAAGGGTCACTAACTTGTAGATTTATCCAGCCGATAATAACAGAACTTATACCACAGGCCACGCTGGCAAATAGAAACATCTGACAATATGTTCATATCTTTTTTCCAATCAGCCCATCGGCTGGCTCGTGAATTGGCCTTTTATAGGACTACGTTAAAAAGTTAAAAATTCCAGTTGTATTCTTTAATTAACGCCAGCACCTCCCGTCTCGTTTTTTTTAAGGCTTCAATTATGATTCATTTTCACTCCCGGCTGTGAAATTATTAAAGCCGGGATGTTCTGGTGAAAGCTATTTAAAATTTTATGATTCTTTGTTATTGAATTTTATATTACAGTATTAGGTTTTGTGGGTCACGTAGTTTAAATATATTTGAGCAAAACCTCGGCTTTCAATTTTCTTGATGAGTTGCCAAACATCATCTGATATGAAGAGACCGATGAATTTATTGACAAAAAAATGAATATGCTACATGAGTGACTGATTCATTCCAGTTTTTTAGGCGTTGCTGCCCTGAGCGAAAAGATAAAAATTATAATAAGAACTAAAACCGAAAATGCATTTTACGAGCAACGATATTCTAAAATTGAACACTTTTCAGCGATTTTAAGAATCTACAAATCAATTATGTCTTGTGTTGGAGGAATGAACAAATTATGCTGGAATGATCACCATAGCCTAAACTTTCAACGAAACTATAATGACATATGATTAAGAATATTGGTAACTTCAAGCTTTTTATGGTATTACCTACGCAACTTATTTGCTTATTTGGAGAACAAAATCTTTTTTTTTCTGAATTGTCCATTTCAATCTAGAACCCTCTTCTCCCCTACCGGCCCTAGATTCTGTTAGGTAAGCAAGCGAGTCGATTCACTCTACTCGGCTTTCTATTTCATTCTACTCTTCTCTTCATTCTTTACGCATTTTAAAAACATTAAAATGTTCAGTTTGTGTACTCAAGAGTTCGTATCGCAAAAGTATGAAACAATAAGCATTTTCCAAATCCCAAATGATGTAAAATATTCGACAAATTCTGTTTTGGGCATTGCTCTATCGTGTCGATTTTCAAACCTGCCGCGGGCCACAATTCTGCTCAAAGTGCTGATCAGTTTCATCAGCGTTTGTTATCGCTTCCGTCGGATTTGCCGAATTTATTTGATTGGAGTGATCGTGTGATATTGAGAGTAGAGGGTGCTAACTTTGAACATAAGGTTTAGCTTGGTTTTTATCAGGCACTTTATCAAAGGCAAACATTCATTGTAATAATGCTAACTGATTGGCTATATCTTCACCGACAGGACTGATTGATTAGTTCTTGAAGTGCGACCTCTGTTTTGTAACTACCTCTCCATAATGCGTTTAAAATTGGACTTTTCATGATTTAAAATGAAAAATGCAAATTGCAAAAAAAGTTAATATACTAGCATTAACAGTCACTCGCAAAACAGTTAAGGAAATTCTTAAGGTTCGGTAAAAACCTTCTATGTTAAGAAGCTCAGCTTATAAGCTTTTGCTTGTTCCAGTTAATGAAATGTTCCGTCATCTCTATCCATTGAAAAGTAGTGTTATCTCCGTTGTAAATTGAAGTTAGATTCACCCGGCTTGCCTTGTTTTGTTTTGCCGCATGTTCAGAAAATGGGTGGATCATTACAAAAAGCTTGTATTTTGTGCTTAAATGTCATTACAATAACGATACATGCAGTAACCATGAATCAACATCCTTCAGAGACACGAACAGTTCTAGGTCGTAAATATTTAAATGATATCGCCTATCACGAGTCCATCAATAACACCATACAGTGAAAAACCTGGTATGCCGTGCTGACATTTTTTATATTTCATTTCAAAAATGCTCATGAAGACGACTTAAAAGCTGCTCAAATTCGTCGAAAACCGGACAAGGGGCAGATAAATAGGGTTGATAAATACCAACGATCTAAAAATACGAGTTGTTATTTTGACTGACTATTTTCATTGCAGCATTTTGTCGTGTTTCACGCTTGAGTGCTAGGCACTGTGTGCTAGTTACTGTTAAGAATTGTCCTCGCTACTGGTCGACATTGGATGCTCGCAGGCAGTTGGAAGGTAGGCATATTTTGAAATGCGTTCATGAAGTTAATGAGGAAAAAAATGCATTGGTTCAAGAATGCTTCCGTGCTGCTCCGCGAATTTTCCACAAGTCAAAGTACCGCCAGCTGACAGCCTCGTTCAAACATAAAAAATGCTGTCAAATCGAGCCCACAAAGATCACTTTAAAATGACCTAAGCCGTCAGTTCCTATTTTCTTTCCTGGGAGTTTAATTAGGCAGTAAACTCCTAATTAACAGTAAGCGCAGTTTGGGTCGTTTTTCTAAACGCTTACTCCTCTATATTACTCTTTGGAATGCTGGAGGACCCCAGGGAATTTGATTCTTGTTCTTATGGATTACAACGTTTTTTTACCAGCTTGAAGATCTTTTGTCCAGATTTGGTTTATTGTTTGTTCAGACCACTACGACAAACAAATAAGCAGAGATTAAACCGAGCATACCGTCATTTAATAAAGGACGTATGCAATGGTACCTAGGGGTAACAGTTTGTGGATTTCTCTGTCGGTCTGCATTAGAGCACTTACAGTATAAATACGAAACGGTGAGGAAGATTCTGATGAAAATGTTTGAACTCTAACTGGGTGGCTGGTATTAAAACTCGAAGTAATCAGATTTAAGTGACGGCGATTGTTATCCGTTCAAATAATGACTAGAAGGAAATTTGCATAGTGTCACTAGTACAATTTCTCAATATGTCATAGCATTTTGGGAATATGGTACACAAGGAACTGCTTTATGTGTACTAGACTCTAAGGTAAGTGTAATACTAAAGAGCTGCTATGATGCTTTACCGTGTATTGGTCTAAAAGAAGGGATGGTAAATGCTGCATTTGTTGCGTTCTTTGTTGTAAGGCTAGAAAAACGTAAACAAAAAGTGTACGCCATTACGCGGAGGTAATAGACACCAGTCATTTAAACCTGGTTCCAAAAGTTCAAAATATAGGATCAGATCATATGCGACGACGTGAGACAGGGTTATTTGAGAAGTAGCACCTGTCTTTGATCAATGCCCTTGTTTGCAGGCTGTAAAATTACTATTGATTCTCGTCATCAATTGTGAGCCATGACACAATGACACAAAGCTTGCTTGAAATTCCTTAAACATGAAAGTAAAACTGCGTATTTTCGAAGATACCAGTTTTTCTGAGGCTCTTATTCTTTGGGAAATATAAAACGATGTATCACATGTAACTTCTCCATTACGGTGATTCTGTCACTTTTGGAACCCTAAAAAGTCTTCACTCTTTTGACGTGTTTGTCAAAGCTCAATTTTGTCTAAACCTTTTCCGCCAAATAGCATTTAGCCTACCATAAGTGAAAGGTTACTAAGAACATTGTAACTTTACACTTACAAGTAACCTTATGGTGTTGTTTTGATGGCCCTCGCTAATCCTTTTATCTTTATTCGGTTGTTTGGAAAAAGACAAGAGGGAAGCTGAAAGTTTTGAAAATTAACACTAACTTATTCCCGATGTTTTTTCCTCAGCTTGATTTGGTGGAAGCAGGAAAAGGCAATTAACATCCGGACATACGTGCCATATTGCTTTCTCTGACGTGCGATACGGATGTTGTCCTGAATTAACGGGTTTATTCTGGTCTCGTACGTGGGCTACGGGATAAAAGGAGCAGTACCATACGATTCACTCAGTTGCTTGGCATCTTTCCTTTTTAAGAGGTGCGTTGGTATAAAGTGTTGTTTACTTTGTTGTCAGAAAAAAAGGAATATTGACACGAAAGGACGTTTGTCACTTGACGCTTTTGATCCGTCTGCGTCACAATTATCATCTTTTATCTTCTTGATCATCGACTTTTGACGTTCTGCAACACGCGGGAATTTTACTCAACATAGCAGCGATCAAAGCTATTCACAACTGGTTCACTGTATGAAATCCTCATTATCCTGAAGAGGCATTGGACCTAAAAGGAGTCACAACCCTGACTTTCTTCACTGGACACTTGACATAACCATTCGCTGGCATTTGCTCAGACAGCTGTGAAATTGATTAAAATTTAACAAATCTCTTTAATGTCGAGACAAATAAAATGCCATTGACATCATTAAATGAAACCTCCGCATTAGAAGAGGAGTCACCGTCATTTCTGGACAGCTCACAAGGTAAAGCCACTCTTTGTGTTTACATGTTAACGTTTATCTTGGGCTCAATTGGCAATGTCCTCGTACTGTTAGTAGTACAAGGTAAAAAACGTCGAACAATTAATGATTTGTTTATTGTAAATCTGGCCATATCCGATCTTCTTATGATTGGTTTTCTCCCTGTGTACACGGCTAGACTTTTCGTCAAGTTTCACCATAGCACGGCGTTCTGCAAGACAATATCGCCGTTAGCCACCATGACGTTTTTTGTTAGTGTGTTCACACTTACGTCCATGGCAATCCATCGATGTTATGTCATTACAAACCCATTTAAGCCTGAGATACGTAAGTGGAAGATTATTGGCTGGTTAATTGGTTTATGGCTGGCATCTTTCCTGGCTGTGCTTCCTCTAGTGATTGTGGCTCAGGGTGATTTTGGAACAGAGTGCAACGAGGGATGGCCTTCTGAAAAGGGACGAAAGGCATACACAGCTTCCTTGTTTGTCCTGCAATATTCGCTTCCCTTGACTGTCATTAGTGCCGCATACATAAGAATCGCAGTGGATTTGCTTAAATCGAGTACAGAGCGATTCGGACCTGGAAAAAGTCTCAACAATAATACCCGGCGTGTACGCAAAGAAGACATTCAGATTTTAAAAACGATTGCGGTTATTGTGTTGGTATTTGCAATTTGCTTGTTACCCGTTCAGCTTTCCTGGATGATGACTGATTTTGGTGGCGAAAGAGAGAAACAAATTGCAAAAGACGTGTTTTTGAAGTTCGATTTTCTTCTTTCTATTATTCATAGCTGCCTCAATCCGCTCGTCTATGGAACGCTCACGAGACGCTTCAGAAGAGGTTACATAAAATACCTAATATGTCTGTGTCCTTGCATCAAAATGCGTTTGGCTGATATCCAGAGCACGGCTGGTCCGTCACAAAATAACTCTCTACGCAAACAGAACGGTAAAGCTCATGTCCATGACCACGAGGACAAGATTTGGTTTGCGGTAAACGGAAGTCCTGAACACGAAACTAAAAGCACAGACGTTTAACCCAAAGTGCAGAACTAAAACATTAAAACTGTAGCCGAGGCTACTTCATGTAAGACGAAGCGTAACTTCATTTGGCACAAGGACTAATAGAGCCTTTTTACATGACGTCACTGCTGCCATATTTGTGTTCCAAAACAATAAAACGGCGGCTATGTTGGTGTTCCAACCCAATCCTGTGGGAACTAAACTCTTTTCTTATGTAAACGCTGGCCTCGTGAGTAAAAACTCTCTTTAGCCTGGATCAAAAGAGTGTTCGGAAAATATGATTGATTGGCAATATTTCCTGCCACTATGCTTAAAAGAAAATACACCGAGAAGTCTTCTTGTGTTTAACGTATAATTATGGTCACGTGACATGACAGAAGGAAGTTTCTTTGTATGGTTAAAACATTATTATATATTATATAATAATACTATTATATTTAAAACACTGGCGTTGCTGATGGAGGATGATCATATTTTACTTTCTTCTTTTGGAATTAACGAACTCGAAGTTTGAAATTAAAGTTTTGAATAATTTAAGACCAAATGTCGGCCTTTGAAACGATGTTTGCCCTCATAATTTTGTATTGAAGTGAAATATAAAGTCATTCCAAACGTGAAGTGTAAGAAATAGTTAATAGAGAGATTAAGATGAACGTTTACGCCAAACGGCAAACGTGACCAAATTTCTGTTTTTATCTGCTTATTTTCTGTTCTGAGAAATTCTCAACTTGAATCTGACGTTTGCCGTTTGCGATAAACGTGAATCTTAATGTCTCTAATATGAATCAGAAAAACGCTATTGATTGATTTCTTTTCAAAAAACCGTCACCAATTCGTCAACTTATTATTTAAGCTTTTCAGTAAAAAGGTGCACGTGACATGTCACGTGACCTACTAAAACGATAGTTGTACCTTAAAATGTTAGGGACGGTGAGATCTTTCTGTTAAAATAATTGATTCATTTCCTTTCTCTTTTCCTAAGTAAAATCCTTTTCCCTAGGTAACCCATTAGGCCTCAAAATACTATTGAGTCGGTGATATTTTGCTCATATTAGTTTACTAATAAAAGTTCTGTCATTACTACACTTATATTTACTAATTTTCGCGACCACTTATAGCCATTTATGTCATTAATACTTAGTCTCTTTAAAACCACACAATTTAAATTTTATGGCAGTTTTTCACGTAAAAATGATGCTAATGCAAGTATCTGTTACATACATTTGTACTCACTGAGTAAAAGCGAGGTACTTCCGATCAATTTCTCAATTACCGTTCGCACAGAATTCAAACGTTCGTTTAGTTGCAATTAACACGTACCCCACAAGGGAATTACGCAATATTTGCATATATATGACTTTTAGTGTAAATGCATGTATGTATGTATCATTACATCTTTTTATTCCTCATCTGGTCACCTTTATCGTCTAATAAGATGAAAAAGTCCTTTTATCCTAGTTTTTCAAACTACCATTACTCTGACGAATTTGACGCTGGTAATCGCGTTCATATTTTGAAGCATGTTGTCGTTAGCTTGCTATGAGAGACCTTTACATTCGACGACGAGAACGACTACGAGTACGAGATTGATCCAAGAGAGGATAAAGAGGCTTTAACTTAGAGTTTTTTCGCGTATTCTTAAAGAATAGACACCCCCCCCGGAACTGAGCTTCATTGTACTTTTTTTCTTTAGAAAAGTTAGCACTGTTATCTTTATTGAAGGAGGTTAAGCCCTCTCGCGATCCCAAAATGATAAAACTTCTAACTTTTGATTACTCGTTTCCGCCATTACGACAATAGAGACCTTTAGATTCTAAGACGAGTACCGTACGACTACGAGCACGAATTTTTTTCAATACTAAGCAGTGCTCGCGCGCGAACCAGCGTCATTTTGGCTGGAAAACGCGGTAGCGGTCGTCATTATACTACGAGTCGTAGGGTGAATGTCGAAGTGGCGGTAACAAGATATCAAATGTTAAAAGTTTTATCATTTTGCGGTAGGGAGAACGCGTAACCTCCTTCGTTAAAGATAACAGTGCTAACTTTTCAGATGAAAAATGGTAAAATGAAGCTGTCTGGGGAGTCTATATTTTGAGAATACGCGAAAAAACTTTTAGTCAAATCTCGTACTCGTAGTCGTCCTCGTCCTCGAATCTAAAGGTCTCTAATTCTCGCTAACATTCGTAGTAGAATGACGACGGCAACCAGTTTCCCCCCCAAAATGAGCCTGGTTCACGCGCGCGCACTACTTGAGAAAATTTCGTACTCGTTGTCGCACTCGTCTTAGAATATAAAGGTCTCTATTATCGTCGGCTTTCCTTACCACACGAGATCTGCTTAAAAATCAATCTCTTGAACTTTTATGGTGAATACTTGATTGTTTTAGTTGAACATAACTGTATAACATTCGCTCTTCATACCTATTGTCCCGTAACGGTGAACTAAGGAGGGACTTTACAATCCCACGACACGATAGCAGCGAAAACGTCGCATAAAAAGTGAATTTATGTTCTTCCAGTCTTTATCGTGATTATTCCTTCCCATTTACTTTTATCAAAAGTAGGTGAATCCCCCCCCCCCCTTCGGAGTTGAATTGCTAAGATCCCTATCCAAGTTCAGAAACAGAAATAAAATTTCGCCGTCGCTTGTTTACGTCCTCCATAAAATGTAATATTAAGCAATTTCAAGTCGTAGTCACGTAAAAACTGAAAAGAAATTTACATAAAAGTATGATGCACTTGTAAAGTTGTTGTTTTGCCCTCTAAACCTATTATAAAGTCCCTAGTTATGGGAGGAAACCGCGACCGCCAGGGCAATAGGCATGCCGAATAATGAGGGTATGCGACGTCAACCGCCACCAGGGGAGGAAGGAGGTGCAAAACTTTTTTTTTCTGTAGAGATATGTTGTGGAGTTATAGTTACGCTTCCCAAGCGGCGGGCAACAAAAACCGAATAATTTTAACCAAGGGCCGCAATGCATCATGCCACCAGCGCGCAGGCCCAACACGACGGAATTTAAAGGAGTTTCTTACATTCTGCGTCACGGGCCAATTGTGTATGCAGTGAGAATATTTGGGCGCTTTCCATTTAGTCAAAATTTCCGAAATTTCCGGTTCGGCGGTAAATGGAACACGTTTCGTCGGTTCTTCCCACTGGAAAATTCCCAGAAAAAGTGGAAAATCTAAAAAGGTGGTCCCGTTTTCCCGGTTGGAATTTCCGAACGGAATGTCGTGTTCCATTTACGTTTCTCGTAGTTTGTACCAGTTCCAGGTCCACGGTCGGGCAGCCGGCCACGTACCGGGGTTTACGACCAAATGGAACAACTTTTTACCAATCGGAAATTCCACTTTTGCTACCACCGAAATTTCCGGTTTTTTTTCGTAAATGGAAAGCGCCCTTTGTTTTGTTATTGCTTCAGAAGCTGCGTGTCAGTTGTAAGTAATGGCATACAGCTTCTTTCCCAAGTTTCTAATTAGAGTAAACAACAATTGTCCAATGTTAATTAGTCTTTCAAGGTCATTATGAAGAACTAAGCTTTTTATTCCTCTCTTTTATCAAACAACAACAATAATATCACGAAAACTGACCCTTTTAAATTAAGCCCCATTCAGATGATACTAGCACTGATGTTTTGCTTGTTAGGCTGAACTCAGTCCGCCGTAGGATTTATTCCAAAGTAAAAACTACAATAACGACGCTGAGAACATTACCCAGTTATTGGTGCTATGTACATAGCTTTCGTGTTTATAGTCACTATTATAAGGATGAGGGATCTTTTACCCCACTGTTCATTATTTATGAAATATACATCAAAGTTTTGGAAGTAATGGGAACAGGCCAATTGTTTTGTTCAAAAAAGTCCAAAATTATCCCAAACAACAAAATTAATAAAAGGCTCCTGTTTTGTTAAGAATACTTTATAATTGCATTGCAATGGAACTATTTATACGGCTGTCTTTTGGACTGATTGAACACGATGAAGTACAAGGATTTCAAGTTTTGTCATCGTTTGTCGGACAAATTGTTAACAACAATGAATATTTTGATCGGTATAGTTGACATTTCTCTTTATGGTGTTACTAGTGTCGCTCCTGTACTAAGAGAAAAAATATTCACTCATATATATTTTTTGAGCTCATGACAAGAATTCTAGCGACACGTGCCTCTTTAAACGTTTTCGCCGAACCGTCTTGCTGCCATGTGGATGACGTATCATAGAACATCACAGTAGACAGCTGCAAATTAAACACGTACCATTTCATAAAATTTATTCTCGTTTGTGAAGAAATATTTAAGAAAAAGTAGTTAAGGAAAAGGACGATAAGATAAAGGGTTACTTGCTCAATGATATTTATTCTAATAGCCGAAGGTTTTCCTGGCCCTGTAATGATACCAATTGCTTTGATACGAAACGGGACTGAAGCAAGTTACGTTTCACTTGAATGTGTGATAACTTTCATGCAGTATTTCTTACTTTAGGAAGGTATTACGGAAACGTTTGCCTTGAGGTAGCTAAATTCTAAAAATTGTTATGTTTTTTTCTCCGCATGAACTCTGGATTAAAAGTCGTGAAGTTATTTCTCATGATATTTCCGGTTAACAAATTAAGATCCGTGATTGAAGGAGTTGTTATGCCCTCTACCAACACCTCGTGCAGTCCTTCATTTGTTATCCGTGAATGTTTCCGACTCAATCCGGTTTTCAAGGAAGGTAAGGTCAAAGTGCTACACATATGGAAGACACATGAAAAAGTTTAAAAATCCATCAAGGACACCCAACCAAGAGCCGTTTGGAGAGCTCTAAATACGCTGGTCCACCTAAAATTAACAGCGTAACTTTCAACAAATTGTTGGTGTTGAAGAGTATTTTTTTCTGTAACAAAAAATACGGGTCTAAAAATTAAATCCGGATATTTTAATAATTATTTTTCATTAATATTTTTAGGGCAGCTATAACTGAGTCAGGTGCACTCATCGTGCAAAGAAAGTTTTTTGCCATAAATTTTCCCTTCTCTT